CAGATGAGGCGTGGGACGTAGAATAAGGGCCCCCCAAAGATGTCCACGTCCTAATCCCTGGAGCGTGTGGCTAGGAGTATGTTCCCTTAACTGGCAAGAAACTATGCCCATGTGACTTGGTTCAGGATTCTCAGATGAGGAGACAGCCCCGGGTCCTCCATGTGGGCCCCGTGTAATCACAAGGGGAAAGTCAGAGAAGGCGACAAGGCAGTGGAAGCAGAGGTTAGAGTGGCCGGGGCCACGGGCCAAGGAATGCAGGCAGCCCCCACCCGCTGGGAGAGCCCAGGAAGCACGCTGCCCCCGAGGTCCAGAAGGAATGTGACCTCCCTGGCCTCGGCTCTGAGAGGGTAAACATGCTGGTCTAAACCAGTAGTCGGCAAACTGCGGCTCGCAAGCCACATGCGGCTCTTTGGCCCCTTGAGTGTGGCTCTTCCACAAAACACCACGGCCTGGGCGAGTCTATTTTGAAAAAGTGGCGTTAGAAGAAGTTTATGTTTAAAAAATGTGGCTCTCCACAGAAATGTCGATCATTGTGCTGTTGATATTTGGCTCTGTGGACTAAGGAGTTTGCCGACCACTGTTCTAAACCACCGGGTTTGTGATCACTTGCTATAGCAGCAAGAGAAAGCCAACAGAACACACCAGCGGGATGAACGGAAGACCCTACCTTCGGATTGGAACGAATCGACAACATAACGTGGTGGCCAAGAAAATGGGGAATCTTGGGCTACATCAACAGAAGTGAGGGGCGGCAGCAGGGGAGGTGTTGATGCCTCTGGTACCTGAGATGGAGATGAGGGGCCCCAGCGCTGCAGAGCGCTCCGTATGTCCATGCTCCCGCCCCACGGGATGCTGGGATGTGGGCAAAACGGACCAAAACTCGCTTCTGTCCCGGGCCCGGTTTTCCTGCCTCCAGAACCGACCACCATTCACCCAGAGGCAGAGCCCCCATTGGACAGGATCCCGCACCCCCTCCTGCTCCCTGCATTTGCCCTCACCCATCAGCAGGTCCTGCGGATTCCGCCCTAAAGGACTGTCCTGGTTGTGCTGGCCCTTCGCCTGGACCACCGCACCAGCCCGGCTCCCTGCTCGCCCACCCGTCCCACCGCAGCAGACGGGAACGGGAACACCACAACAGGTCCGGTGCTTCCCTCCCCCTCCGCACCGCAGCCCACAAAGGCCTGGGCGATTCCTTACTTCCCTGCGCCTTCTCCACCACATCCCTCCTGCCCACGCTGGCTCCTTCCCCTTCCTCCCTTGCTCTCTGGGCCAAAGCTCCTGCTCAGGTCCCACTCCCTCCTTCATCCCTGTGTACGTCACCACCTCCCGCAGGCACTCCTGGTTATAGTCACCTCCACGGCAATGAGCTCCAGCCTGTCTGTCAGCAAGGGAATGTCAGTTCCATGAGGCAGTGGCTGGCTGGGCTGGGCATGGGGTTCCCCCCCAGCATCCAGAACACTCCTGGCACATAGCAGGGCTCAATCAATGTTTGGGGAATGAATGGATTGGTAAGACAGGCCGGTGTTGCTCAGTGGTTGAGCATCACCCGTGAACCAGGAGGTCACGGTTCCATTCCCAGTGAGGGCACATGCCAGGTTGCAAGCTCGGTCCCCAATGAGGAACATGCAGGAGGCAGCCGATTGCTGTTCCTCTCTCATCCTTTATGTTTCTGTCTCTCTCTCCCTCTCTCTTCTTCTCTCTCTCAAATCACCTGTGAACAGGCATCACGCTCAGGCGACCGGAGGAAGGAATGCTGGGGCCCTGGGCGGTGCGATTGGCCAGGAGGCCCCGGCCCCAGGGGGAAGCCTGCACGCGCCAGGCAATTCCAAGGTGAAGCCCACTTACTCGTGCAGCCCAGCTCCCACCACGAATGGGTGGACGCTTTGAGGAGACAGATTCCAGCGCCCCATAAAGGCCATCTAAAGGTGGGCGCTAGCCCAGGGGAGCACGAGCTGCCTTGGGCGGGAGAGAGCGCCCCGTCCCCAGAGGCCTGCAAGCGGAGGCTGGTGATCACCTGGAACAGAAGTGCCTGCCTGGAGCCATGCCTGGCACAGGGCAGCTGCTCCTGTGAGGTTTCCTAAATGCATAAATAAATGCATGCATGCATGAATGAATGAATGAATGAATGAATGAATGAATGAATAAATGCATGCATGCATGAATAAATACTTGAGTACTTGGATGAATGTCCTCCAAGATCCAGGCGCTCTGAGAAAGTGGACTGAGGGGCGTATAGAAAGTCTCTTCCCAGCAGCGAGGCCACTGAGAATGCCCCGTGGGTTTTGACCACGGGCAGCGAAGATTCTGGAAGGAGGGCTTGCTACCCAGAGCCCAATAGCCCGCCGGTGGAAGAGAGAGACGCCAGAGCACTGGCCCTGACCTGGAGCTGCCTCTGTGGACATGCTCTCCTCCTGGTCTGGGACTCCAGTCCTGCTCTGCCCCTGACCAGTCCGGGGACAGCAAGCGAGACCTCATGTCCTCGTCTGGAAAATGGAGGTCACGTTCACCTAACCTGTGCCCAGGCCCCCGGGCCCCAGGTGCCCCCCAGGCCCAGACACGGCACCCCTCCTAGGCGAAGTGGGGGCGAGAAGGGTGCATCAGAGCCTGAGGGTGAATCACATCGAACTCAAGAAGCGCGTCTGGGTCATACAGGAGTGGGAGCGGCGGGGACTTCCAGTAAGCGCTGCCCTTCGCCCAGCACTGGCTGCTCTCAAGCTGACTAATGCCCCCCCCACACACACACACACACACCCCACTCCGTGCACCTTGCCCCCCTGGCCTCTCTGAGGAGGGGAGGCCCTGATTCCCACCAGCCTGCCCCCCCCTTCCCCCGGCACGTCCGTCCATCTGTCCGTCCGTCAGGGCCTCCCTCTCGGGGACAGGGTCATCTCATCCAGGCAGACCTGGCCTTCCTGCAGATGGTGGGCGCCCTGGGGACACCCCCTTTCCTAAGCAGACCCAGAGCATCTGTCCAGCCCCCCTGCCAGAGAATCCCACGTGAGCACTTCCCTCCAGGGGAGCGGTCCCCAGCTCGTTATTTATCCCCAGCAAAGAGCCATCAGAGCACCCCCTCAGCCCGCTCCCCCCACTCCCCGAGGCTCATGTGGGGCCCAGGTCTACATCTGGCTGAGGCAGGGGCGTGGAGGTGGGAGGGAGGCTTGCCTCAGCCTCAGCCTGGCCTGAACATGACTGGGGGGTGGGGGTGGGTCCTAAGTTGTCAGGGAAAGACCTTAGCCTCCAGCCCCAGCCCCCCAGCCCCTCCCGGGTGCCTCTTGGAGAAGGTGGAGGCCAGGGAGGGGAGGGAGCCCTGGATTCTTCTCTCCAGATCGGGGGAGTAATCGGAGTCACATTACAAAAACCACTCTTGGGGCAGAGGCCAAATCTCTTTCTCAGAATGTGACGCACAGCTAGGACGCATTCCTGCTGCCGCCAAACCGGGAAAAACGGGTTGAAATTTCAAGCCCTGATTGCTTTTTGTTTTGTTTGTTTTTTCTAATAAACGTTTCCTGGAGCGACGGAAATGGAAGAGGCTGGAGGGGCCGGTCCGGGCGAGCACCAAGCCCCCTCCCCCACGGCGCCCGCCCCGCCGAGAAGCGGCCCAGAGTCTCAGCCTCTCTCTCTGGCTCTCTCTGGTCGGAGGGAAATGCAAATGAAGACAACAAAGATAGGGCCTTATCGCTGGTTACATTGACAAAAATACAAACTGCAGATAAGATCGAGAGTCGGTTAGGATGTGGGGAACTTGCTACTCTCGGGCGGGCGGGCGGCCGTGGGAGGGCGAGTGGCGGCCTCCTGGAAGGCGGGTCCGCCGCATCTGTCAGTGTGTACGCGTTTCTCCGGCACCACGTCCCCTCCTCAGCCTCCGCGTCCCCTCCCCTCCCTCAGCCTCCGCTCTGGAAGAGGCACTCACAGCCCCACGCACCCACACGGCACCCACCCATCAGGGAGGTCATTAAACTGGGGGCCCTCGCCTCCCTCCCCCACCTCGGACAGAATCCTGCTTCTAAGCCATGTGCTCCCTACGGTGCAGTCCAGGCCAAGCCCGGTGAGTTCTAGAAACCAAAGGAAGGAATCAGGATGAGACAGTGTCCAAACACTTCACTGTGTCTGTCAGGCTTCCACCCCTGGCATTGAGGATATAGCCGCTATATTCCGTGTGTAATAAAATGCGCGTTATTGTTTTGACTTAAGGAGGTTCCACTCCACAGAAAGGAAGCACATGGTCTCCCGCCACCAAATACTAGCAAAGCTCCCCGAGGTCCCAGGCACATCCCTCCCTCCCTCCCTCCCCTTGAGTTCCCCAAGATCTGGGCACCCCAGACTCCCCCTCCACCGGGCCATCAGCAATGGGCTCAGGGGGCTGGGCTGGTTCTCCGCGGTCTGTCCTGTCACCCTGTCAGCAGCCTCCTCTGCCCTCTGTTGCATGGGGAGGGGGAGCGGGGAGGGAAGGGGGTGCCTGGGAAGAGGGGAAGGAGCACCTGCATTCTCCCTCCTCCTGCCTGAAGCCCGCCCGCCTGTCCTAAGATTCAAAAGCATGTCACCCGCCTCTCCCTCCTGCCTGGACCTTCTTCAGCCCGTGGCCGCTTAGGGGCCGGGGTGTGCAGCGGGGAGAGCCCCAACAGCAGCCTCTCTGGCCCAGGGAGGCCCCGCTGGCCTGTCGGGCCCTGGGTCCTCACCTAACCCGCCCTGACCCCCACCCACAAGCAGCCGCTCTGCTGCCCACAGACCCACAGCTCAGTGGCTGCGGAATAAGTGAATAATCTGCCAGGCGGGGGAGGGCACCCCCACAGCTGTCAGCGTCCTCCCACCTCACCCCACTGCGTATGCGGGTCCCCCTGCCTGCCCCCCGCAGCCCCTCACTCCGGCGGGCGGGGAGGGAGGCGAGGGGGCTCCTTCCTCCTGTGTCCTGCGTGCCCCACGCGATCCGCGGCTCCAGGCGGCGGCGGGGAGAGGGCGCTCTGGACCGCCAGCGCCTCCCCGGGCTCCCGGCACCCCCTTACCTGCGGGAGGGCGTGGAGCACCCCCAGGAGCAGCAGCCCCAGCACGGCGGCGGCGGGAAGAGCGAGCATCCCGGAGGAGCTGGGCTCCCGGAGACGCCCGGCTCAGCAGGACCAGACCAGCTGCTCCCCGGTGCCCAGCCTCACGCTGCGAAGTCGCTGCCCCTCCCCAGGTCTCGCCTTGGCTCTCCCCTCCTCTGCCTCCCGGAGGCGCCGGGTGGACCCAGAGCCGCTTCAAAGAACGGGCCACCTGGCAGCCGAAAGAAGAGGGACAGACACGTGCGGGGTGACTCAGCAGGGCACGCCCCCCGCGCTGTGCGGGCTCCTCCTGGGCTGCAGAGGGGTGGCCCCTTCCAGGGGACGGAGGGGGGCGGAGAGGGCAGCTCCCGCCCTGCAGGGAGGGACTCCCGGGGGATGGGGAGCCTCCAGCTGTCTCACTGTCCCAGGGCACACCCACCCCACGGAAAAGCAGAACCTGAGTGGGTCCCTGCTCCTGCCACGGACCAGCTCACACGTCTCTCCTCCCGGGAGAGTGTTTGGAAGAGACTGGAGGAGGGAGACTGGAGAGAGCCCCCACCACCACCACCACCACTCATCCCATTCATGTGTGTTCACTGCAACATGCAACAGCAGATGGATGGGAGAAGGATGGGGGGGGGGGGTGAGTGGGTGGGTAGGTGGATGAATGGGTGGATGGGTGGGTGGGTAGGTGAATGAATGGGTGGATGGGTGGGTTGGTGAGGGGATGGGTGGGTTGGGGAAGGATGGTGAGTGGGCAGGTGATGAATAGATGGGTGAGTGGGTGGGTGTATGGGTGGTGGGGGATGGATTGGTAGGTGAGTGAATGGGTGATTGGGAGACGGATAGGTGAGTGAGTGGGTGGTGGGTGGATGGATGAATAGATGGATGGGTGGGGGGTAGGTGGGTGGATGGAAGGTGGGTGGGACAGGTGAGTGGGTGGGTGAGTTGGGGACAGATGGGTGGGTAGGTAAGTGAATAAATAGATGGGTGAGTGAGTAAATGGGTGGGTGGGATAGGTGAATGGGTGATTGGGTGGGTGGATGGGTGGGTAGGTGAGTGAATGGGTGGGTGGATGGGTGGGTAGATGAGTGGATGGGTGGTTTGGGGACAGATAGTGAGTGGATGAACAGATGGGTGGATGGATGGATGGGTGGTGGGGGATGGGTTGGTAGGTGAGTGAATGGGTGATTGGGAGACGGATGGGTGGGTGAGTGGGTGGTGGGTAGATGAATGAATAGATGGGTGGGTAGATGGACGGGTGGGTGGGATAGGTGAGTAGATGGATGGGCAAGTGGGGGATGGGCAGGCGGGTGAGTAGGCAGGTGGACTATCGGAGGGACCGATGGTGAGAACAGAGCATTTGGTTATCGATTCACAGGTGTCCCCTGCCCCTGAGTTTTGTGCCCAGGAGAGGAGCCTAATGGTTTGACCTGGGAGAGGAGGCATGCCCACCCCATTCAAAGGAAGTCTCATTGGCATGGATGCCTCTCCCTACACGTGCCTCTCCCTCCCACGAGCTCTCTGTTCCTCGCACCCTGCACCCCCCACAGTTTGCTGAGCATCCGAGCAGACTATGGTCAAGGGCTCGTTCGCTTGCCTTGCATTTGCTTTTCTTCCGATGGGGAAACTGAGGCCCGACACAGGCAGCCAGTCCTGGGGCTTCGATGGCTCCCCCATGCCGGGCATGGCCCTCGGCCCCCTCGGAGGTCTACACCTCGGCCTCCCTGCAAGGTGTCCTCAGCCCCATCCTGCCAACGTGGCCCCCTAGCCCTTGTCTCCCACCGGGACCCGCCCAGGAGAGGGGCCACCCCCTGCCAAGCCTCTTGGAGCTCCAGGCCTCTCCCTGGAGGACCTGCCGCACCGGGTGCTCTCCCTGGGACCCTGTTAAACAATCAAGGAAGTGGTTATTGAAGTGACCCTGGAGGATGGCCACAGACCCGGACAGCGGTGGGCACCCCAGCATGCTCCTTCCCCATCCAGAGGTTTGCCCTGCAGACCCACAGGTGCTCTGAATAAACACATGTTTGTTCACCACGCAAACGCAACCCAACAACATCAGGATGCTGACACCAGGGGAAACTCAAGTCGACACAATTACACGTTCCAAAAGTTCCATCTTTCTAGCAATTGAAGAGATGCAAATTACAACCTCTGATCTCTCTGAGCCATTAACTCGTTAGGGTTTTTTTTTTTTTTTTCCTTTATAACAACAACTTGGGTAAAATCCCACCCCAAAGTGGAACATGCATTCAGACGCTGCTGGTAAATGTTGCAACCCTTTTCAGAAAGCCATGGGCAATTCTTAGCAAAGTCCCACACACACACGCACACACACACAAATTACGGCTCATGGTTCAGTAATTTCACCCCAGCAAAGAAAAACTGAGGAAATGGTTCAACTGGGGAGAAAAAAACAAACAAAAACAAAACTATAAATAAGTAATGTTTCCTGAAATAGTATTTGTAAATTTTGGAAATATGTCAAGAAACACAACTGAGAATGGTTAAGTAAATTGTGGTATATTCTTTTAATGAAATATTACACACCAATTAAAAATAATCATTATAGCCGAAACCGGTTTGGCTCAGTGGATAGAGCGTCAGCCTGCGAACTGAAAGGTCCCAGGTTCGATTCTGGGACCTTCCATGTGTCTTGGTTATGGGCACATCCCCAGTAGGGAGTGTGCAGGAGGCAGCTGATTGATGTTTTTCTCTCATCAATGTTTCTAGCTCTCTGTCTCTCTCCTTTCCTCTCTATAAAAAAATCAATAAAATATTTTATTTTTTTATTTTATTGATTATGGTATTATATAATTGTCCTCATCCCCCCATTCCCATCCCAAACCCCTCCCCACATATGCTCCCACCCCCCTGTTGTCCATGGCCACTGGCTAGGCCCATATTCATGCACACAAGTCCTTTGGTTGATCTCTTCCCCTTACCCCAATAAAATATATCTAAAAAGATTTTAAAAAGTCATAGTTTAAAAAAGCAATACTAATCATTATATTAAAAAATGATCATGATAGCCCAGCCAGCGTGGCTCAGTGATTGGGCATTGACTTATGAACCAGGAGGTCACGGTTCAATTCCTGGTCAAGGTACATGCCTGGGTTGCAGGCTCGAGGCAGAAGATCAACGATTCTTTCTCATCACTGGTATTTCCGTCTCTCTCCCCCTCCCTCTTCCTCTCTAAAATCCATTAAAAAATTTTTAATTAAAATAATTTTTTAAGATCATCATAGCAATGGACACCTGTCTCTCTCTCCTGTCCTTCCCTTCCCTAGACTTTCTAAAGGGATCTTGCAGAAGTACGGGAGGGGGAGGGGGAAGGAAGCTGGGTTTTCGTCACCTGAAAATTTATAACATTTACTTAACGGTAATAACAATTGATGGCTTTGAGTGCTTACTTTCTGCTAAGAGTTTTCAGGAACCGATGTTCCTCAAATCCTCAGGGAAACCCCATGGAGAAGATCCTATTGTGCCCATTCTGCAGGTGAGAAACTGAGGCACAGAGCCACGATTCCACTAGGGTCCCAGAGCCTATGGTTCCCAAGACCAGTCTCATTTCTCCAGCTTCACTGGCAGCCTCTTCCCCTCACCCCTGCTCCAGTCACACACGCCACACTCCACGCCTTTGCCCACCCTGGCCCTCCACATAGCACACGCCTCAGACCTGCCTCTTTGCTGCTTTCCTGGCACTGCTCCTGCCCCTCCCTCAGCATCTTCCCAGCCAGAAAGGCGGTTTCTGTCGTTTTTTTGTGCCTCAATTCTAGAACTGATCTCGCTGTGTCAGGACTGTAATGACTGGCTGTGCCATCCATCTGGCCCAGGAAGCGGGGGCTCCCAGAGAGCCAGGGTGCTTGGGACGTGGCTGTGAGCCGGTGATGGGTGGCAGGGAACGCACCCCATCCCGGGGGAGGCGGCCTGAGCGGGGGACATGCGGAGGCCTAGGAAACGGCAGCTGGGGCAGCTGGGGGGACTCTCGAGAGAAGGCCCGGGATGGAGGCGCCTGGGGTTTCGGCGTGTCTGCAGGTCTCAGGCGCCTTGAACTCTGAGCGCGTGTGAAAGTGCTTTGAAGAGCCGGGAGGGGAAGTCCCTGGCCCGCAGCGCAGGCCCTGATGTGGGATGGTGGGGGTCAAGGCCCCTCCTCGCCGCGGGAGCCAGGCTGGGCCTGCAGGAGGCGGGCAGGTGAGCAGCGTCTCAGAGCAAGGGGGCGGGAGGCAGGTGCGGCGGAGAGCTATCTGGAGGGAACGGGAACCCATGTCACCAAAGGGATGCTGAGCAAGACACCAGGCTCTGGCCCGGCTCAGGAAATTCAGGGGCTTCCCCAACAGCTGGGAACCCCAGCCCCAAATGGCCCCAAAATACCCTCTTCAGAGAAAGGGATGCTTTCTGACCCGGGCAGCCGCGGGCAGGTAGGAGGCCGCAAACTGGAGGGGGAAAGCCTGCCTCTTTCTGCTCTGATTGGCTCAGGCAGTTTTTGGGGTGCCTTTCCCAGGTGCCTCTTCGTGGGGGGCTTCTCCGGCAGGACCTGCCTCCAACTCAAACCCCAGAAGCCTCCCCTTCTCGAGGCCCAGGGCACCAGCTGCAACTTGGTCACTCGGCTCCGGTCCCTAGGACGGTGGTGAGAAGTCGCCACTGAAGGCTGGCGTCAGGGAGTTCACTCCTCAGAGTTGGGGTTCCCCCCTGCCTGAGCGAACCCCAGCCGCCGCCCCCTACCCCCGACTCCCACCCCACAACCCTATAACCAGGCCCTTGGCCGGACATGTAATCCTGGCAACAAGATTTCAAGTCAGTATAGCTATCCCCATTTCACAGATGAGCAGACTAAGTAGCTTGCCTGGAGGTCACACACCTTGAGCGTGGCAAGGCTGGGATGTGGCTCTCAAACCCTCTGACTCTGAGGCGCCAGCTGCCTTCTCAGTCCCGTCTAGGCCCCTGCCACCCTTGCTTTCCCAGGAGAAAGAGCACGAGGCAGGTGACCGGTCTGGCCACGTGACTGCAGGCCAGTGGCTTCTCGTCTCTGAGTGTGCTCGTTACCTAAACGT